CAGACAGTCACAGTGGTCCTCTCGAAGGGTGTGCTTACTCGGATTTGCTGGCGTGCCGCCTCGACGGGCCTCAAACGTTGTTGCAGAAAGAAATGAGGTCAACGGCGGTGTCTAGCTTCTTCTCACACCGTTTTCCCGAGCCCCCCCGCAAGCGCGGCCGCCGCGGCGGACGAAGCACGGGGCGCGGTTCAGGGTCTACGCTCAGAAGCGCAAAGGCATCAAGCAAACGGAGTCGCAGCAGCTGCAAAAGCCGACGCTGACGGCTGTGACTTTGCGACAGAGGCGAGCGCTGGCCTCCCTGCCATCCCAGACGGAGTGCAGCAGGTCTACTGTCATTCCTGGTGTGACAGCAACTTTTGCAAAGGACGCCCTTGCCAGTGAGCCACACCTAGGTCGCCAGTTGAAGAACTTCAAGCGCCGGACCGAAAACATCAAGTTGAGAAACCAGGCGGTCTCCGCGCAGCGAAAGGTTGGCTGCAACCCTTTTCTGGAAGCCAAGTTGAAAACAGCGAAGCTGTGGAGCTGTCGCCGTGACAAGGATGCGGCCGAGTACTTGCGCAGCATGGAAGTTCTGGCAAGATGGAAGCTGCTGGATTGCAGCTTGGCCCGGGACACTGACATGGTCTTTCCGCGTGGCAAGGACTATCGGTTGCTGCGGCTGCGGGATGAGCCGGCCTTTGCGCAGGTCATTGAGCTTGTGGCGCGGGCCCACATGGTGGTCTTCGATGACGTGGATGATCTACTGGCAGTTGAGCCTGAGATTGCCAAGTGGCTCGCTTGCATTTTTTCTTTGCCGCTACCTGACGAAGACACAGATAGCTTGATACAGTGCCTTTTCAATAATAGTTAAAGCAGACTCAGACAAGGAATGTCGAGGTCTCCAAGGTGGCTGTGCTCGTTGCTGCTTATGGTCTTCCCGTCATGTCGAAGGCGGCTTGGAACAGGTTCACTTCTGGCACCAGAGACGAGGTCTCAGTGGTCTTCACCCAGCACCTCCTGAGCCAACGCTTTGTGTTCATTGGAAGTGTTCCGGATGATTACAGAGGCCTGAGGCCACTTTTTGCAAGGTCTCCTGCATCATTCCAAAGGCCTTTGGCACTTGGACCGTAGCCGGAAAGACATGGAGAATCGGTTAATGCCGAGAATGTTGCCGCCAAGGCTGCGGCGAAGGCAAAAGCCAAGCCGAAGGCGCGACCAGAAGCCAAAGGCAGGCCTGCGCCCCCCAAGGTCATAGATCTGGGGGTAAGAAACGCCGACGTGCATGGCGGCCTGTCGATCGACCCGAGGCTGTTTTAATTTAATAAATTAGCCAGACACTAAACTGATGGCCTTGTGTTCGGCCTGTCGGAGATGGTCTTTAGAAGATTCGCTGCCGGCCTCACGCCTTGTGACCTTCGTTTTGCGCCTCTCTCTTTGTGTTAGTATTAGAAGTCGTCGTTTGCAATTTTTTGCCAATCAGTCACAGAGTTTAACAATATGAGAATAATAATTGAATTGGAAGTCTTTCTGATTCTGATGATCGGTTGTCTTTGTCTCTTTATCTGTTTCTCGCTCTCGCTCGCTGTCTCTCTCTCTCTCTCTCTCTCTCTCTCTCTCTCTCTCTCTCTCTCTCTCGGGCGCGCAATCTCGCCTCCCATTGTCATGTCACACTCTCTCTCTCTCTCTCTCTCTCTCTCTCTGTCTGTCTCTCTCTCTCTCTCTCTCTCTCTCTCTCTCTCTCTCTCTCTCTCTCTCTCTCTCTCTCTCTCTCTCTCTCTCTCTCTCTCTCTCTCTCTCTCTCTGTGACTCTCTCACTATCACTCTCAGCCGTGGCTTTGGGTTTAGGGTTTAAGGGTTAAGGGTTCAGGGTTTAGGGTTTTAGGGTTTTAGGGTTTTAGGGTTTTAGGGTTTTAGGGTTTTAGGGTTTTAGGGTTTAGGGTGTTTAGGGTTTAGGGTGTTTAGGGTGTTTAGGGTGTCTAGGGTGTTTAGGGTTTAGGGTTTAGGGTTTACTCTCCCTTCCTACCTCACTGCTGAGTCCGAGATTCGTTGCTGTGTTTCAAATCAGGGACAACACCGTGTCTCCCGAAGAGCAAGTTCCTCATCTCCGCCAAGACCTCGTCGCCTTGTGAAGGCTTGGCCAAAGCGATCCTGCCAGAAATGCTTGAAGCCGGTGATTGATGCGCTGGGGCCCACCCCTGACTCAACAGTCTAAACCTGGCTCCTCACCGCGTGTGCTCGGTCTCTGAAGTGAAAGGCCATCGCAGGGCAGTGTGATCTCAAGAGACCCGCAACTTTTGGCATGGCGCTCGCACCATCCACGGCTGCCCCCCGGATTTTCCCTAGAAAGGCCAGCATCTTCTGTTCCTGCAAAACGCCATCAAGGCCAGTGTAGAAATCCCGCACAGCGGCCAGGATCTCTTCCTTCCATTTGCACACAGACCGGTCAGCATGAGCACAACAGCGTCTTGGCATTACAAAGTCACTGGACAGGCCATTCACCACTTGCTGCTGAGAGGCACTCTTCACTTGAGACCTGTCCGTCTCCATCGACGCAAGAGAAGGGAGGCCAGCAGACCATGCGGCCAGCACACCGCATTGATGCCGACCCAAGACGTCGCCTGACCAAAGATAGGATCCGTAATTGAACCACGTTAGTTTCATCTCCGAAAAGAATTTTGTCAGTCCAAGCCGCATCTGTAGCGGATCACAAGGGCAGGACATTTCTCGTCAAAGGACAAAAAGACCGTGGTGGCCTTCTCCAAAACAGCTATCTTCTGCTTCCTGATGACACCGCAGTAAATCCGGACTATGCTGGATGCTGCTCTGCGGGAGACCTCCTGCCGAACCCCTGCCAGGAAGGTTTCAGTGAGAGTAATATTGGCCATCGCATAATAGCTCACCGGGTTCAGCAAAAATGTCTGGACTCGCAGCAGGTCACTGAGCTGCGGCACATGGCCTGGAGGGTGGATGTGTGTATTAAGCATGCGCCACTGACAAATGAAAACAATGACGACTGACCCCAATCAAGGCCGCGCAAACCCCAAGCTGAACTGAACAAATGCGAAGCCCTCCAGGTGACTCAACCCCTCGGCCTTGGAGCAGGCCCTGATCTTCCGTGTTCTGCAGGAGCAGCTCTTCTGGCTGGCCTCCTGGCGAATAGTATGCTGCCACGGCCACCTGGTGTATCCGGCTTGCAGCGTGGTTTCGAATGGCGGAAGCCTGCATACTTGCCAGACCAGAAACCGAGCTCAAGGCCTGGCAGCGCGTGTCTGTAAGCTCTGCAAGCAGAATGTCGACAAATTTACTTAATAAACACATATGGCAACTCGCTAATGAAGCATCTGTCCGGAGCACCCACTTGGTTCCGCCTCGTGCTCTGCGTGATGTGGCTCGGTTTGCATGGTTTGCGTACCAAGCACAGAAGAAACAACCGATACCAAAGCCATCCTGTCCTGCTGGCTTCTGTATCAGAAAGCACACTTTCCGACCAGTCCGGGGGTCCACTAGAGACCCTGGCCCCTGCTTCCAAAAATTTGCATACTTCAAATACCGGCATTCTGCGCAGTCCTCTTTGGGAGCTGGATGAACCAACTTGTGCGAAGACCTCGTTGACCCTGAAGCTGGCACTGGAAGCACGCCGCGGTCACAAGTTTTTTTGGAGGCCTTTCCATTCTTCACCTTCTTATTCTGGGAGAGTTTGCCTCAGTCAGTTGAGTGTAATTGCAGTACTTGACACCATGCTGCAAGGCGCCATCTCACAGCGAGGCTCGCGTTGCCGAGCGACCTCTCAGGCGTTGCTTGAGACCTGGAGCTGCTGGCCTTGGATGTGTGAGCACAGCATGTGTGCGTGCGCCTGTGTATTGCACTGCCACCAACTCTTGTCAATTGTTGCGGACAAGACTCCGAAGCCTAGACCTCGAAGAAGCTGTAGAGGCCAGGCAAGTCATCGTCTTGGTCTTTGACGTTTTTGAAGCGCGACCCATTGCCATCCTTTTCTTCAGAGGCTTGCCGGCGCAAGCCTTTCTCTTGGGCCTGCTAGACATTGCCACGACAGACCGAGCTCGCTTCCTCTGGCTTGTCTTAGTGGCCGTTGCAGACCGTGCTGAGCGTTGAAGTTCGACTGCGCCCCTGCTTTTAGACCTGGAACTTCGGTGAGGCCCGAGACTTCCGCCCAGGAGCAAGCGGGTCACACTTTTCTTGCCACTGAAGAGGTCCATGCTGGAGGACGACAACTGGACTAGTGATTCTGATTCTAAATGACTGACTGACTCTGACGAGTTACAATGCCTAGATCGCCACTCGTCATTGTCGTCGTGTCATTGTAAAAAGCCCAATTTCAATTCGAGGCCGTTAACCGTGAGAAATGTTACAGATATCTGCAGACTGTCATCTCTGAGAAGACCGGCTGCCAAATCAATTTAAGATTCAGGGCGTTCGGGCCAGGTCTTTCCGTCAGCAGGTGTTGCAGACTGAGACACAAATGAAAATCCAACCAGTCAGTGACGGTTGCCGGGCCTCTTTTGTCACGGCGGCGAGCTGATGTCCACCTGCGGCGACAACAAACTGAATGAGTCTGAATCGTCAGTCAGTGCCATGCGAACACAAGCAGCATGACAGCGACTCCAATTTTTTTGTTCAGCCCCAGACCAAAGAGTAACTGCTGCTGACTGATGCACAAAACCTCAACGGTGGATATGTATCCACGGACTTAAGGCCAGCAACTTGACACAGCAATGGTTTGTAGAAACTGATGCCGTAAATTTCTGTACAATGACAACTGAATAATGCCTTAACGACTGTGGATATTCCACGGACTTAAGGCCAAAGAAAACCCAGGCGTGGAGGTGAGATGCATTCAACGCCCCTGGCTTGCTAGACCAGTAACAGTACATGTACGCGGGGTCATTGTTGTGAACGCATCTCTTCTCCAGCTTAGACCCCGACCCCAACCCCAGTCACACCCTAAGAGGCGTGGTTCTGTCTACGTAGTAGTGGCAAAATCAACAGGCTCGCTCTCCACATTCTGGAAGACCTTGGGGAAAAGCTTCATCAGACTGTCTGCGCCGCCTTCCTGGAAAAACATGTGAGTCCGGTCTGCCATGCACCTGAGACGCGCCAAGCGGGCCATCAAGTCTCAGACTCAATTCAAACTCGCAGGAAGGCATTGACATGACAAGTCAAGGAACTCCAAGCAGTACTGCGTCGCCACGTTCTCTGCCCAAGCCGCATGCTGCTGCTTTCGCACCAGACCACAGTAATAGGAATTGCCCTCACGCAAAACTGCATGGCACAGTGCTGTCCCTGGACCTTGGAAGACTCAGGCTCAGTCTGAGTCTTAAGTCTAACTGATGACGACGTCGTCAGAAAAAACTTTGGAGACAGTGTCTGCAAGGGCCAAGGCACTGAGGTCCACAACTGCCACACTCCGAGTCATGCGCAGAATCGCAGACCACGCAGAGGCCGGCAAATGCTCGCCAAAGTGAAGTGGCACATCAACACCATCCCACCGGCACGGAATCGAGGCCTCCAGACTGCCTCTGATTTGATTCTTCTCCTCTGGGCTGATTAGAGGCAGCTGGTTTGGCGTCATAGGCTCCACACCGACCAAAGTTGTTGACGAGAGGCAATTCTCCTTGAAGCAGTAGGGGTCCTGTGACCAGGACGCTTTACGTAGACGGAACATGGACGAGGATGACTATGATTCGGGAGGGGGTATGGGGGCAGTGGGGTGGAGTGGGGGGCAGCGGGGGGGAGCGGGGGGTAGTGGGGGGTAGTGGGGGTGGGGTGGGGGGGGTGGGTGGCGGGCGGTGGCTGACAAAAATTCAAAATTATTATTTCAAAAAATTAAAGAGGCGGGAGGGATTGGGGGGGGGGGGGGAAAAAAAAAAGTGGCCTCCCTTTCCCAGAAGATCCAGAGCGTAGATTGCCCACACCACTCCCCAGGAGGCTGAACAGCCCGCACCCCTCAGCACGCTGAGAGGCCCTCCTGTCATATGCCAGGGACCTTGGCACGTTGGCCCCAAAGAGTGACTTCAGCCTGGCAGTGCCCTAGGCCTCGATACCAGACCGAAGATCCGGATCTTCACCCCCACACCCGGCCAACGGTGTGTCCTGGTTTTGGCTTATCGGTTCCCGCCAAACTCCAGTCGGTAAGGGCTTTTGTTAACAAAGCACACAACACAACCTTGCCACCGAAATGCATGCGGGGAGAGGGGGGGGGGGTCTGTAAATGCCGTTAATATGTCAAGGCAAATAAAATATGTTGAGCCAAATTGTCAGCAAACAAACAAATGTGTGTCTTTACTGCCAAACAAATTTCTAACTAAATGTCAATGGTCAAACAATGCGAACAAATTTCCAACGACGACGAATGTCGAAGATTCTGCAAGACATTAAATTAAGTGGACCTGGACTGTCAGTTCAGTCCTGCCGCGGCACTGCTGAGACCTTGACTCGAGGAGACCTGCAATAAAGTATCATGTTCGAGACCTGCTGCGTGCAGCCGAAGACCTGACGCACAGCACGTGGAGGCCGAGTCCAGACCACCGTGATGCCTCCCACATTGCCAAACCTCTTGCAAACCTCCATTTCCTGGAGGATTTTCTGCCGAGAGGCCTCGTCTCCACTGTCTGAGACCAGCAGCAGATCTCCAGAACCAGCACAACAGGCCATGCCAAATCGCACCAGTTCCTTCAACTCGGCATGCAAAGAGGCCTGAGTCCTTGCTGCTTCCTGTAGATGCTCCACTTGAAGAACGAACAAGCGGTGTTGCTTGTTCAGCTCGCCTGGCGCGGCGCATTCCGGAAGCAAATCTTCCATGCAGGCGTCGTAATCTGCCTTTGTCGGGGCCGCTTTGTTGAGCACCACGAACTTCACGTGCTTAGACCGGTGACAAGAGGCCTTCTGCAGCCAGCGCTGCTTCTCCTGCTCAGCTTCTTCCGCTTGAGACCCGAGCTTGTTGCCAAACGCTCCTTGGAGCCCGTGTGCCGCCAGCAGTTCTTGCATTAGGCCAAGGACTTTCGCGCGCACATTCACCATGTTGCCAGACCTAATCTCGGCATCATAGCCGGACCCCAAAATATTCTTCCATGGCGCTGACTCAGCTTCCTTGACCTCTTGCGGCAAATCTGCGTTCTGGATGTCCTGCACAACAGCGTTTCTTTTCTCGAAAGAAACATTCAGCAGGGAGACCTCGCGGGACAACCAGGCACGTAGTCGCGCTTTCTGCAATGCAATGGCCAAAAAGCTAAGACCCATAGATTTCCCGGTCGAAGACTTGGAAGCTTTTCGGCACTTGTCGCAAACGAAACCACATGACTCGCACTCCTTCCAGCTGAAGGGAAACCGGCAATTTAGTCATTTGAATCTTATTATTATTGTCTGACTGATTCTGATGATAAACTTAGGCAAGACACAGCCCTGAAAACCTAGAAATGACAACGCCAAGGCACGCTGCAGACTTTGATCTCCAAATCGTGTCGCACAGCGCCAGTGCGCCCATCCGAAGCCGAAACGGCCAAGCTCATCTGCAGCTGGCGCAAAACGAAGGTCAGAAGGCGTGTGGCCGGCAGCGAATCTTCTAAAGACCATCTCCGACAAGCCGAACACAATGCCATCAGCTTAGTGTACTCATTGGCCAGGAAATCACGCCCCATAATATCAGATATCTGATTCAAGGCCTGTTGAGATGCCTCCCCGAAGGTCTCCAGACAAACCTGCATGGCGTGAAGCATGCAACGAGAAGCTGGACGACCAGCAAAGCTGAAGCCCTTCTCCTGAGCAAGGACGGTATCACTGCGCACACTGCGTTTGCGCTTCGGCATCGCGGAAAGCCACCTCTCCATCAAGTTGCAGAAGTCCAGCCAATCATGTTCCATCTGCCATTCTTTCGAGCTAGAGCTTTGCAGGCTGAGCTGCAGCAGCTTGCTCATGTCGTGCTCGACACAGTAGACCGTCATCTGTACACTCAAGGCCGTTTGGAACAGCGACGCACACTGTTCTGCGAGCTCCAGATGCAAAGCCTCAAACATCAAGACCTCAGTCAGGGGCTTCTCCATCGCGAAGCAAACTTGGAAAGCGAGTAATAGACATTGGCAAAAACTCGGACGATCTGAAGACAAATCTTGCTTGCTTAAGGCCACGCTGCCCACCAACTCACCAAGGCCACGTGCGCAGAAAGTGGGAAAAGGACCTCTGGCCAGGCACCATCCAGATTCTGCCAGGTGTATGCCACCACAGCCGTAGGAAAAACTCCACCTTGACACCTGACAATCGGGAAATCATTCTATTATTATTAATTATTTAAAAATATAGACACGAGAGCCTGGACCTTATGTGTATACGTATGTGTGTGACTGACCACGGTGTATATGTGATGCCTGGGGTCGGGAGGGGAGAAGACAAACGAAAGAAGGCCCACCATCTATGGCAGAGGCACCAGGCCATGTGTTCACACGGCATACCTGGCAGGGAGCGTTGGCCTCAAAGCATCCCTCCAAACACCTCGCGGGTGTTCGGTCACTCCACCATGCCCCAGACACAGGCCAACGTGTCTGGTACCAGCTGGACAGGCGCAGGACCAGCGAGTACTTGGTAGGGCGCAAAGGAAGGGGCAAAGGGCGGGCAAGAACGAAAGGAGGGAAAAGGTGGCGGGGAGGTAGGTAGGTAGGTAGGTAGGGATCGACCTGCGGCACAGCCGCGGCCACGGTGGCGGGGAGGGTGGGAAGGGAGGGGAAAGGGTGGGGAGTGGGAGGGGAAAAGGGAAGGGGGGCTGTATGCCTGTGTTGTCAACTGCGAGTTCCAGTGCATGATGAAACTGATTGATGCGTTTTATCTGGTATGCTTCTCTTCGCCGCCCAGCCACACGCGCATCTTGGTGAGGCAAGTTTCGATGGACTGAAACGTCAAGTGTGGAACAGGTAGGTCCTCAGATAAGCTGCGACGCTGACGCTGCACTTGCATTATGTTATATTCAATTACTCATTTCGCAAACTTCAAAAAACGCAATGCCAAAGGAAGCTGGAATCATCCTGAGGCCGCCCCCGTAGCGCAAGCCAAAAAAGACATCCACCTGCACTGTAGCTGCCCTTCGCTGCCATGGCTGCCCCAGCATTTGCTGTGTTCCAGGGCTCCACACAACCTGTGTTTTCCACACTTCCCGCAGCCTGAGGCCGCATCGGCAACGGGCGATGCTTGGCCAATGGCATCACGCTGTTGGTCAACTTCATCTTGTGCAGGACGTCAGGCAACCGCTCGGTTACCTCGGATGCTTCAATTTTCAACGCTGTGTCAATTGCAAGTATCTTGTTTGCTGGAGGCTCAGCTACATAACTGCCCGGATGCCAACAAGAAACCCAGTGCGCAGCACTTCCCAGCCAAGGCCACAGGTCAGCTTTTTCATCTGGAGGCCACCGGGGCTTGGGCACGCTTGACACATCGGAAAGTTTGGGCCACTTCACCTTCCTGGCAGGCAAGGCCTTGGGCTGAGACCGCATTCGCTTTGACGACATGGAGAGGCCACCTAGCTAATCGCTTGAACAAAGGCCTGGCGAAGCTGACCTCATGAAACGCAGTTTGCAGGGCAACCACTCTGAGTAGGGGTTGGCCACGTGCCTGCGCCTTCTCGTTTTCTCCCACGTGCTCGACGACCCCAAAGGGTGACCTTGTTTGATCTGGGCTACACCAGGCACTTCCACAGAGATTAAATGACACAGCCACAGCTTGCCATGGATTGTGAGGCCTCTGCACCATGCCATCCAACTTTCACAGGCCTGCCTCAGTGATTCTGATGCATTGACTGGCAAAATGCCATGGAACTGGCCAGGCTCCCAGCTGACACAGAAAGCCAATGTCAATGTTCCATTTTCCAGACCCGCCACGCCCACTCACCAACTATGCACTCTTAGTCCTTTGGACTCTCTCAGAGGCCCCAAAATCGCGCCAGCCTGTTCCATGCTTGCGCTGCACGCTTGCAAAAACACGCCGGCATTTATTCTGCCTCATCTTCGTCCTTCTGCTGCTCCTCTTGTTCTTGAAAGACCTCAGGAAAGTTCTCCTGAATTTCCTCGGCCAGGTCCTCGTCATAAAACTTGGTGACCTTTGAATTAGCGACCAGCCTCAGTCAGTCAGTGGCAGAAAGTCAATTTGACCACGCGGCTCTTTCACATAAAGCAAACTTGCGGACTGCGAAACAGCACGACTTAACTTGACTGCCTGTAAAATAACTTGCGCCAAGACTCTTCAAGGCCTCCATGTCCAGCAGTGTCTCCAGCCACTCCTTGCCTTCATCATTATGCATGAGACCCGTGTACGGGATGTCGTTTTGGAGGCAAACCTTCGCCGCTGTTGGCCCTGGTGTCAAGTCCATGACTGCAGCAGCGTGTAGAGATCGGAGGATCGCCTGGAGACCTTGAGTAGACATGACATCGGAACTGCACCAGGCAATGAGGCCATCTTCCTGGAGCTTGTCCGGCGTCGGGGCCACGCGCGCAGGCCACAACTTTTTGGAAACACCCAAACTCACACGGGTCACGTCTGCGGTTTCCAAGGCAGGAACGCCTGTGAACACGAGGTTGCCTCCGAGGCCCTTGTATCTGTCCTCAGGCACTCAACTGTCAGACGCAGAGACCAACATGAAACAGTGACGCAACCGAATTCCTACTATCAAGCTTGCATTTCCTGTCCTCGCGAGAGGGTGGCTGATACTCGTGCAAGGCCATGCCCGGGATGACCCAGTAGGCCATATCTCTGGGAACGTAGTCTTCCATAGAGCTCTGCTGTTGCTGTGTCTCCAACAGACTGAAGCGGTCCGAGTCCTTGAACAAGACCTGCATCTGGAAAGATGGCACAGCGGTGCAAGCCTGCTGTATGGCGGGACGCATGCGTCGGCAGCGACCGTCCGAGACCAGAACAGTGTCGAAGGCCTTCCGACCTTGGTAGCATCAGCAAGCAACAACCTCCCAAATCAACCGTTTGATGCCAATAATACCCGGACCCGGTAATTTTCTTGAAGCCTGGTCAAAGCCACAAGTAACTTTACCGGATTTCCTGTTATTATTAGTTTTATTAATATTAATTTTATTTTTAAATTTAAAATTAAAAACAAAGCCTGGTCTTGTCAAGCTGCTCTGTTTGACAGCCCAGTTCAACTTATCGAGGAAGACCTTCTCCATGTCATTGTCCATGACGAGCGCTGCTTCCGGGTGCTTGTTGGCTGCAGGTGCCTGAGAGACCAATTCTGCAGAAACCAGCCACAGACGGTGGCGAGCATTGGGCTCACCGTCGAAACTAATGAGTGGCATAGAGGCCGGGTCGCCGGAAAAAATCTTCGACCACTTCGAACGCACGCGACGCACCTTCTGCAAGATCAGCGCTCGGGCTTTCTCTGCCTTGGCAATGTCGCTGTTCAGATCCTCCAAAGACCCAGTCATCATTGCCGCCAGGGGGACCTTGGCCACCGCGTTCCGCTGCTCTGAGAGGCCTGTTGCTCAAAAACAATATCAGGACCCAGGACCAAGGCTATTATTATTAGACCTCCCGTGCCCCGTCGCCTGCGGTCACCTTTCGGAATTCCTTGGCCAGCTCCGAGTCGTCCCCTGATGTGATGACGTCCAGAATGTTCTGCTTCCCCTTGATCAACTTGACGAAGTCGTCGTCCTGACAGCAAAGAAGAAGCTGGCATTGCAAGTTAGACTAATAACAAAATAACTAACGACTTACGCACGTCTCGCTCGAGATGTCCTTCTCCCTCTCCATGCAAGAGATGCAGAACATCAAGACCGGCCGGACCACTGCTGCCAGGCTGGACATTGCGGCTTCTGCTTTCTCGCGGTCATAGAGGCCTGGATCTTTCACCATCTTGAAGATGCCGAGGAACTGCGGAGAGGCCACTTCCACAGGCAGCAAGGCCACAATGGAGTCCAGTGCGTCGAACAAGGCCTTCATGGCAGCAATGATGCCGCAATACTTTTCGACGACATCCTCTGTCAACTCTGAGACCTGGAGAAGACACCGAGACACGAGGCTGCAAAGCATCTTGATGCAGAATTCCGCCATCTCTGGACCCTGCTTTGTCAAAGACCTCATCTTTTTGGACGAATGGGTCAAAGTTTGACCATGTTGGTCTGTGAAGTCCTGGAGCCAGGCCAAGAACACGGGGGACTTTGCCTTCACCTTGTAGACCGAGACCGCAGCGGAGATGATGTTCTTGTCAACCTTCTGGCCATTGAAAGTAAGCCTCTCTGTTAGACCTGAGACCATCTTGACTTGATCCGCCTGGTTCATGTCGGAGACCTCCCCAAGATGATATACAACTTTTCTGTGAACAACAGAAAAGAATCCGAGACCAGGACCTCCGCCTTCAGGCTTTCCGACAGTTTCAAGGCCCTTGTCGCCAGCCTCACCGTGAACTCGGGCTGAGTCATAGTCAAGGACGGGCAGTAGACCTGAAGGGTGGTTGTCAAGCAGCACTCAAGCATCGTGCGGAGACCCGTTGCGTCATTCTCCTTGGCGCACTCAGCCAT